TCCGCTGGCTAGAGAACACGACACACACACACACATCGTGATTGTAACTGATTCAGAAAGCATGCTGAGGAAGATCATAACAGGTATGCTTCGTGCAGAGTGGCATAATTCGCTGTTGAGGACACGAGTGAGGAGTATTGTCTGGATTTTTTCACCAGGTAACGCCGATGTGTTGGGAAATGAACAGGCGGACAGACTGGCTGGCTCTGCACAACTTGGTGGAATACTGCTACATGATAGGACAGACGTGGATGGTGACTTGTGGGAGAGCGTGTACAATTCGGATCACCAGTCTGGTGAGATTGATGCAGTTGGGGGTGATGAGAGGTTCTGGCAGAAACTCGAGGCTCAGAGGAAAGGCAAGACGGACGTTTAATCAGAAAGCTACTGGCACCATTAGTATCGGAACTCTTCGCTGGCTGCTGAAGATGGGGACGGGGTGCTAATGGGAATGCCCCGAGTGCTGTGATGTCGGTTCTTGAGTCAAATAAAATCATGGTGTAAAGATAAGCTGTGAAATCTGCCAGTCTATTACATCTGAGTCCCCAGGATGGTTAAAATCCTGAAAATGACCATGCCGGCATCTTCTTTAGCGTCTTTACCTCGTTTTTTTCCATTGGCTGTGGCTAGCAGGTGTCATAGGTCGGACTAGGCTTCCTTTATCGGCGTCTGTAGCGAACACGCTTCGTAATGCAGAGATGCGAAGTTTGATCTAACTGCACGCAATTTCGCAGCAGCGTTGGCTCTGACAGCGTAGTAAGCGAAAGCCGACAGTGTAGTAAGCAGTGACAAACTACTGAACGGTAAGTTGTATAGGAAAACATAAACAGCAAAAACTTCCACGGAGCAAATAAGGAAAACCCGATTGCAGCGAAGTTTAACCTCTGCAAAGACTAAGGACTCGCAACTTGTATACTTAAATATGAAATCTGGGTAAGTGGACAATAAAAAAGTAATTTAAATGTCAAGCCAAAGCCCAGGTGATGAGGTATCGTGTTTCATGGTGATAAAAACACACTTCGATCCGGTAGTACAGGCCCTGGCACACATGTGGTGACGTCACTGCCGTGGTCGAACTCAAAATGGATAACACATTTGGGCTCTCCATTAAGCTACGGCCGGTAGACAACAGTAGACGGCCAGTTAGTTGGAGTTCTGTCCCTTGGCTACAGTGCAATTACAGAGTTGAAAAGGCACGAATCACAAAACAACATGACATCGACATGGCTGCTAGAGCTAGACCATGCGCTGCGACTGACAGTAGCGACCGCGTTCTTGCGACGCAAGACTTAGTGGCCGTAGATGTGACACCTCCGGATCTGTATGCCTTAATGAGCGATAAGCTTGCGTGGTTGCGATGGCTAGCTGAGCATAGAGTTATAAGGGACATGCAGGTATGTGGCTCGTCATCACGGCGGCACGGAGGATCGGCTCCACCATATCAGCGAATCATCAGATAGTATTGATACCTGCACAATACAGTACATGCTGGTCCCTTTGAGGATAGGCAGAGCGAGAGGACTTCTCCGCAATTGTCATCAGATATCAATTGTCATGCTGGAGATATAGGCGATTCTCCGCTATTGTAATCAGATACCTAATACACACATGCTGGGTCCTTGGTCAGGATAGGCAGCATCAGTACCAAAGCATTTACCAGAGCAAGCACCATGTCTCGGAGAAACAAACCCAACGGAAAGCGCAACGGACAGAGGAAACAAATCACTGACCGATCTACCCGATCTAACTCAGCGGCCAGGAAGACGCAGACAGTTACTACCGGATCACAAGAAGACGCCCCGACTACCAGTGAGGCCCTGAGTGACGTTCCAGCGTCACCTGAACCAACACAGCCAACTCCACAAACATCTCCAGATCGACGAAAGACAGGCAGCTATGAATTTCCTGCCACAATATTTCTACGACAGACCAGCTCGGGCCGGACAGCAATCACTACACTGGCAACGCTAACGTTGATCAATATGCTAGAGATCATATTAGGCAAGAGGGCAGTCGCAAAGATCAGAAGAACTCGAGAAGGAGTGATAGCTTCACTAAACAGAACCAACCGCACCTCAGACATGCTGGACGACATCCAACACAACTGCAAGAAAGAACTCCGACTATCCGAGGAGATAACTGTGACGGCTACAATCTTCCAGAATGTAAGACGCTGGGTGATCCGAAGAGTCAACCTGCAATGGAAGCAACGAAGAAATCCTGCAACAAATAAGGAAAGAAAACCCCAATGTCAACATCAACCAAGCAGAGAGACTGGGCTCAAAAAGGCATCCATTGCCAGTGGCGGTGATAACATCGGAAGGAGAACACATCCCGGATAAAGTTTACCTAAATCAAAGAATGCAAAGACCAGAGCAATACGTGCCACAGGTGATCCAGTGCTCTCGTTGTCAAAAAGCAGGGCACTCTCGGGCCACTTGTGTGAGCGAACATGAAGTATGCCGATACTGTTCACAACCCCATGCCTTCAACAATTGCCCGCTGGCAAAGCTGGACACAGACTTTAGGTCTCCCAATTTGAACAGGAAGTGCGCAAACTGCTACGGCCAGCACAGCACCAGATACCTGGGGTGCCCCTATCTGCAACAATGCAGAGAAATAGCAACCACGGCCATACGGGAAAAGATTCCATACCATGAGGCCTGCAGAAGACACGAAGCAACCCAAGGCATAACTGCAGCCATTACCACCAAATTGAGCAACGAGGTGGCTCAACTCAAAAGTGACATCCAAGCTCTCAGAGACGAGAAAGAAGCATCCAAATCCCAACGAGATGAAGACAGAGATGAAATAACATGCCTGAGAGCTATAATGCAGGCGACTCTTGACACCCAGAAATGGATGACAGCAGAGATGACGAAATTTAAGGAGGACATCATGAATGCACTGGCCACTATCCAGACACAAAAGGAACAACCAACTAAAGCAAGGGAAGACGAGGCGGGCATCAATGATCTGCGGGATAACCAACAACTTCTCGCGAAAGAAGTCGCAATGATCAAGAAGGCACTAGCTGAAACAGAGGAAAAGTTACGTAGAGCATACGAAGAAAACAACAGACTTAATAAGGAACTGCAAGCAACCAACAGAGTGATGGAAGAAAGAGAGAAAGCACGGAAAGAAGCAACAAGAAGGCAGCAAATACAGGGAGCCGAGACCCAGAAAAAGCCACATCAAACACCAGATAAGAAAACACCAACGCCGCTGATGAAACAGTTTCCGGTCGAAACTACTAACCAAATAAACCAACGCATCAGGGAGCTGGAGGACCCGAACTTCTTTAACTCAGAACTGCAAGATGATGATGTTCTATGGTCATCACCAGAGGAACCATATCGACAGCCAAAACCTGAAGTCAAAAGAGGTTGACACCATTACCTCAAACACTAATACCAGATACGACACAACCAAGGCCAAAATTACCAAAACCCTATGTAGGAGTAGTACTTTACAACAAGGATACGAGAAAATCACCAAATAATACCAGACCTCACCAGTATTGCCATCAGTACCTGCCCAAGTCAATCAACCGCCGGTCCTTCTTAGGATAGGCAATTAACTTCCCCCGGAAACAACAAACAGCCAAGGAATACCACAATAAATCGATTCAACACCCAATCATCTGGAGCGCAGCACAGGGCCAGCCAAATTACAAAAGCAACAGCACGAGCGGAAACCACAACAAATAGAAAGCGACAAATATTGAACACAATCCAAAACCAAATGAGATCGAGACCAGAAAACGTCACCACAAATATAGCTGAAAGGAAAGTGAGCAGAAATGTGAGCGGACCTAACTGAAAGTGGTCAACGAAAGAGAATTTGAATTTGAATGTGTCTCATGCTGCCATCTACCTGCACGAGGTTGTCGTTCACCAGACCAACTTCGTTGATGTCGCCCACAGTGACATCCACACCCAAACGATTGAAGGGCTCTGGATGCTACTGAAACGCAAAATTTGGCACCAATTGGGCACTAGCTGGGCGCTACTGCCTTCAGATTTAGCAGAATTTCAATGGCGCCACTGCCACAAGCAGCACATTTTCGGCCTTTATTTGGAACTCCTGCCTTAAAAAATATCAGATATAGCGGCCATCATTATGGGTAAGTACTCGACGTTACATGTTTTACCCTAACCCTGCCCCTAAACCAAACCGTAACCGTATGATTATAGCAGGGCAGTGCACGCTGTCTATCGCCAACACACAGTAATTATGTCATTTGTTTCATTCCCTCCTGTCCACTCCATAATTGCACTGTAGCCAAGGGACAGAACTCCGACTAACCGGTCGTAGTTTAAAGGACAGCCTTACTCTTTGCCCTTTAAACAAATAAAGATCAACTTTAAAAATACATTAGAAAGGACACACAGATGATCCCTAAATGCCCCTCCCAGCCCTTTGCTGTTGCAAGTAAAAAAAGGAGAAGAATATTTTGAAAACAAATAAGGAGCACTAAAGGAAAATGTATACAGAGGTACAACATTACTGTTTCATTGAAATTATATCTAACCAGACACTTACAAAATATAAAACTAAAGAATACTATTTTTTTTCATTCACATTTATTCTCACCTCAGTTACAATCTGAGCTCCAAAATTTACAATCTATACCACTGGATATCGAAAAAAAAAAAGAGTTCACTTTCATTTTTTTTTAATTAGCGAACATTCATGTCTAGTAAATAATCATATTTCATTTACTGTAGTGTGAATACTAAAAATAAATGTCAGTTGTGTATCCTTTACATGACATTGTAGAACCAACCACAGCATTTTTTTTTTTAATTTCACTAAGTAATTTTACATTCAGTAGTCTATAAATACAAAAGGAAAAAATAAACTAATATTTAATAATAGTCTTTATGGAGTTAGGAAGATGAAAGACCAGCTGCACCTTTCATAATTTAAACATCTCTAAATCTGACTTGCAGAAATAAATCTAAACGGGTCACTGTCTTCATGAAGCTTACACAGTACTACTCATTTTTGGGTGGAGAAGCTAACCTCTTGAGACCATACAATGACCAGATAAAACCAACAGCTGCAAGCCCAGCAGACAGGTAGTACAGTGTTCTATCTGCTGCAAACTTCTGCCACACCAACTTGCCATCAGCAGACTGGTAGGAGAGAGTAACAAAGGAATGTGAGAAACATAATCATTATCTTCAGATAAATATGAATGCAAAACAAATACAAACGCTTATCCACTGCACAGCAAAATAGTCTTATTTTTGCTGCAGCCCTTCATTGAGGTATGCTCTTTTGTAAAAGAACAATTTGCTTTCATTGTTATTTATATCCTGGAAAGTTTAGTATTTTTTATAGTCAGCTTAATGTGGATAGTGGAAAGTTCTGGTTGTTCGTCCACATTCTGGACTGCAGTCCTGTCCCAGAACCTGAGTGTTGCGTGTGCATGTTTGACAGATCTGACATATCAATGTGCAGACTGTTGGTTCCTTGCCTCTCAGGCAGATGCACTCCTTTCAAAGGAAGCTCCCGATTAGTTGACTTTTACAACAGGCTTTTGGGTAGACAGTGGTCCTATTATTATTTTCCCTTTAATAGGGCCCCGGAACCCACACGGTTGAATGTGGAGAGTGATCTCCGCTGTCCCCTGTCAAACAGCAGACCAAAAATAGCAAATATCCTCAAGAGCAGTTACAGAATGACATAGGTAAAAATAATACACGACTAGAAGAAGCCAAATGAGATAATATGATATACAATCTAAAAAGACAGCATAAAGATACTAGCTGATTCAAAAAGGAAAGAGCGAAGATTAAAATGACCAAAAGAAAATAAATAAAGAACTGCACTATGTGATTCACAAGGTAGAGTAAAGATAGTAGGCAAGCAGAGGAAGACAAGACATGCACACACACACACAAAAAGAATACTAGGTGTTTATAGGAAGTCTTAGTGAAGATACTAAGTGACTAGAGGATAACAGAAAGTACAAGTTTGTGGTTATAAGAAGCTTAGAGTGAAGATACCAGCTAAATATAAAGGGTAAGTAAAAATATAACACAGAAAACAAGTGGAAAACAGACTGGACAATGTGTGGCTTGCAAATAAAAGTTAAAATATAAAGTCAATGCTGCTTTGATGCTATGCAGTATTCATATGACAGGGTGTCTCTATTTGCTTCTTATCCTGCCTTTAGCTCTATATCCAAATACATTTCAGCTGCACAAAGCAACAGGTTATTTACTGGACCATTTAGATGCTTGTAAAGCTTTGTTTCTTGTTGCATCTGATGACATTAATAAAGTCAGACAGAGACTCTGGAGATGTGGATATACAGAAGATTAGGTCAAAATTCTGGGAAATAAATAATCTTACTAGACCACACACATGACAGAAATATCTCTTTTTTTTTTTTAAATGAGGTAGAGCGGTGTTGCACCCAATGACATAAAAAAGTTATTGAGTACTCCTTATTCTCTGCATGTCATAAGAGTCGACATTTTGGCCTCTTTTGAAGTCAGAATACATCTGACTGAAAGGTAAGCAACCAAGAGTCTGCATACAAAAAAGTCAGACCTGTAAAACAGATGTGCATGCAACACTCAGGTTTCAGGACATGGAGTTTAGAGGTGGACAACAACCAGAACTTTCCGCTGCAGTTTACAGCCAGTAAATGCAAAGAAGAATCGACTCTCTTGAGATGTAGATATACAGAAGAATAGGCAAAATTTATTGGGAAACAAATAATCAAACACAGAGGTTCCATGATGATGAAATAAGGAAAATTAAAAAAAAAATTTTTTTAAAAAAAAAAAGAGAGCGAGAAAGACAAGTTAAACATTTTGGCCACACAAAAAGATATAATATTTTTGTGAAAACCATAGTGGAGGGAATAGTTAAAGGAAAGCAAGTGAGGGGTAGACAAAAATCCACGAAGGAGGATAACATCGAGAGATGAATGAACAACAGTCTTAGATGAGGGCCAGAGTGTGACGAGATCCACTACAGCCAACCTTTACTGAGACGTGACTGGTGACTTTACTGCAACTATAAATTTAGAGTAAAGTACCTTTTAATTCTGGTGGTGCACTTGGTATATGATGCTAGACATTTTGTATGGACCAATCAGTGCTCAGGGAGGGATGTTGGTCAACATCAAACTGGTGCTTTTACTGCAAAGAATTTTACCTGGCCCCAATTTTAGACTGGGTTGACCTGGGAGCCAAGGTCAATTGTAAACTAACCCAACTCAGTAGGGGTTACAGCTGAAAACATTATGGCACCATTCCTACTATTGTTTCCTTCAATACACAATGGACTGATGGTATTTAGAAGGACTAACTCATACTGTATACATTCTGGTGTTACCAGGGGGCTGCATGGCCTCAAGTGCTAGAGGTCTCAGGTGCAAGCCCTGAGATTGTTTCATGTGGATTTCTAGTAATTCTCCCCTGGTCTCTGGATAGTAGGACCGGACGCCCGTGTGTACTGTTGCGCACGCAAAAAAAAACCCCTTGGCAGTTGCAAATTGAAAAGAGTAGCCTAGTGGCGCAGCCCAGGCAAAATATAAAGTTAAAAATCTACCTAAAGTATTTCAGGATCCTTGCCGGTGCAACAGAGTTTGTGCACTGAGCTGAGATTCTTCATACTCAGGCTTGAGTAAGAAGAAGAATGGAGCACTTATGGGGTACACCTGTGTGCCATGATGTTGATCCATTGAATTAACATAAATATCATGTGTTACCATGGCCTCTCATTGGACAAATAGAGTACCAACATTGCAACCTATCAGGCGTGTCAATGGAGGAACTAAGGAGGTTAATGGGAGGTGGATTACATTATTCTGTAAATAACTTTAGCAAAATTCAACCAATCATGGACCTGTCTTCTGGAAAGACAAATCAATAAGTCAAGGCAGATTAAAGTAGATTTGTTTATAAATTCTGAAATGATTTCGAAAAAAAAGCTGCACATAATGTTCAATTAAAGGATAAAAGAAGAAAAGTGAAACATTATACTAACCAAAAACTGAGCCTGTAGTGACATAAGCCTCTTGAATCTTTTATTATTAGGTACTAAGTACACCCCAGATTCTCCATGTGAACTAGGCTGAATTTCAGCAACTTTGAGTGGTTTGTAGTCATAGACTATTTCTGGGCTTTCCTGGACTGCCACTTTGAATGCCTGATAAAATACAAAGTTTGTTAGCTGGATTCAAAACAAGTGAGTAAATGACACAGTGCTTTACTAATATCCTACCCCAAATAGAGAACTCCTCAGGTCACTGGACAGTCTAATATTTCAGGGGGTGGTAGATAGGCTGCATGAAGTTGTGGGACCAAGGCTGCATGCACTCTGTTGTAGGACGTAGGTGGGTTGGGGTAAGGGCTAGTTCTAGATATTTTAGGGTCGTTAAAAGCATTCAAAAGCCAGGAAACCTAGTCTTAACACTATTTAAAATGTTCGACTGTCCTGTGATGTCATCTAGGGTAAGATATTAATAAAGAACCAATGGCACAGTTTAGGATTGACATTTTTGAGAAGAAAAATGTAGAGGCATTAGGAGTTACAGTAAAATCTTGCTAATATGAATAAAGGAAATGAGAAAGCAAGAGTTCATGGTATTAAAAAAAATGTGTGCTAACTGGTCACTATTAGATATAATATGAATATAACATCCCTCTTCTTCTGCCTTTCTAACCCTCAAAGGAGCATAGGCCCTCAACCAACTCACACCAAGTCATTCGCCAACGCTCTCCTCATATCCTCCCTATCATTTTAATTTCACTCTCTAGTTCCCTTCTAAATGTTTTTTGTTTTCCGTTATTTCTATGGCCACCCCCCCCCCCCCCAATACAAAGACATTCTAGTAATACTGTTCTCAGGTTTTGTCAATGTGTGTCATATCAGAGGCCAGCATCTTTTCTTCACCTCTTGGTCCACAGGAACTTATTTAGTTCTCTCCCTGCTGGGACCAAAATGTTACTCATGCTAAATGAGTGTCTTAAAATGCTTGAATCTCCTATTACAACAGACACAATTCAAAGGCTGTCATCAATTCAATAGTTTTTTTTTAGCCACTGAAGGCTTTTTCAAGTTTTCAAGAGTCACTACAACCCCTTAACTTGGTTATACCAAAAATGATTCTTTATTAAAAGTAAGTGAAGGACCCATTTTATGCCAGTGGTGCATCATGTATATTCTGCTACACCCATATTGTAACAGATCAATCTGTCTCAGTGAGTGCCAGCCATCTAGTTTAGCCCCAAACAACAACGCATGAGGGCGTGGGGGATACTCTCGTCGGTGGCGGAAGTCGCCGGAAGCGCACAATCGACACGTGACTGAGGCCCTGTTAGAGTAAATTTTCCGATAATTTAGGACTGTTATTCGGAGGATAGCCAAGTATTCTGTCTGTCATGCGGGTGACCGTTGTACGATTCCCTGCCAAGTGTTAGTTTTTGTGTATGCTCTAGGCGGTTAGTGCATTGTGTTGTGGTTTACAGTTATGCTGTTATATCTGCGCCACTCGCTTAGTCTTGTAGTTTACAGCTAGGCTTCGATACCGGCGGCTGGATACTCTATGGTCATGTCAGGATGAGGTAATCTGTCTTTTTGTTCGTCCGTGAAAGGGTGGTAGTAGCCACGTTGTGTTGTGGTTTACAGCTAGGCTGCAATACCTGCACCTTTCCCCCTCATATTTAGGATTATTTACAGCAGTGGGGATTTTATTAGTAATAGTCCTAATAGTGAATAGTCACCTTTGACAATATGCTTTTTTTAGGTGCCAGTGGATCTATTCTTTTTTTCTTTCCTCAAACATGTAGCCTTGGAACACACAAAGCTAATCACGGTTAATGTGAACAATGGATCAAAAACTATTACTTCCCTTGTCGCTTCTATAGATATCCATGGAGCAGAAGTGGAAACTCAGAACGTTGCCGAAAGTCGAAAGTGATGATGATGGCTTAACTTAAATGTTTGTATAAGTATAAAGTATAACCTCTTGAGGCGATCAAGGGGATGTTTTTCGCTGTGAATAATTTGGACCGGTATTCGGTAGGGTTACTTTTTTTTCAACGATTTCTTGGCTTCTGACTTCTTCTGCGTGACTGCTGCTTGAAAGATCACTGACTAACACTAACAGACACTCAACGATTCCACAGTCAAGCCAAGCCATTTTAATTTTTCCGACTGGAATCAAACAAGCATGCCCGATTATTACTTAATCATAAACAGCATGACAGAAACTAAATAATTACCTCTGGAGTATTGGGTCGTCCCATAGCAACATCCTGTGTCGCCGAAGATAAACTCTGCGTAATTTTGTTGTACTTGAAAAACATCTTGAGAAACCGTCTAGCGTACTACTACCAGATCAACACAACTTTGAAGGGCAAGTCAGAAATGTTTCAGAGTAGCATCCCTTAGATGGCGCTGCTTCCGGTTAGAGACGCAAATACGGCAGCTCTTCTGTTTTGTATACCTGGTTGCTATGGGATACTTCACTCGGGTATATGTTTTCCTGTTGCTACCTCTTCTGGGCGCATTATTAGAATTTGTCCACAAATTGATTTATCGGAAGCCAAATTTGTATTAGTTTAGTTTATAATCTACACTTAAACATGAGTTATATAAATTTAGGGAGAGATATCGGCGGATTGCCTTCAATTAATTCAGCAAGAAGAATCAAAGCTTTGGAAGAGGAGCTTCAGTGGTACAAGCTAAAGGATTCTGGAAGTGGCGGGCGAGTGACACCTGTAGGGATTCTGAAGTATGACAACAAATCGTATGATTTATGTGACAATCGGCGGCAGCTGACAGATGTAAGTGTTTTTTAGTTTCATTAAAATCATTGTATACTTTAATGATTAGTTCTAATTTGACAAGTCAACTTGCAGAGTGTCTGTACAGGTTATGCCTGCAATAACCTGCTTTCCACCATCCATGCCTAAGGAATGGTGATTATTGAATCAAAAATCGATATCACCACAGCACTCGAGACGCTCATTCCCCCCATCTTCAGCAGCAAGTGAACAGTTTCAATTCCGATGGTACAGGTAACAATTTAATTGTATATCCGTCTTCCCCTTCCGTTAAGTGTTGAGTGTCGGCCAGCTCCCTCGTAACTCCTGGCAGTGCCATTCTCCTCATACCATAATGATCTATTTGTGCCTGCGCACTGTTTACTCGACCCAAAAAGCCCTCACAACATCAAGCTTGTCATACATCAGTTCACCACAATATGCACAATGCATGAGAAGAGACTTTTTCTTATCATCCATCTTACAAGTGGTGGAATAGTAAAAAGAGATGGATGGACAGCAGTCTGAGAGGTTGTTCAAACAGGATGAGAGACAGTGTTGGAGATATGTTGCAGCAAACATTCAGTGTTGAGATGGCACCTGATTTTGTGTATTTTTCTGAACCCAAACTTTTTAAACCTAGTATTACATCTCAGAAATCTAAATTACCTAAGCATTTATCAAATAACCAACACACAATGATGTTATGTGTTGTGCACACTGCAAATATTTAAAGTTGATAAATGATTAACTGGTTATCATGGTTGCATTATTATGATGAATTATACATGTAATATGCACTCCACAAGCAAGTGAGCACAACAAAAGGCTTCCAGTCTGTAAGAGAAGTCCCTCAGCATAAGCGTTTAGGCCTATATACATTCCTAACAATTAGGCCCATTAGCAGTTCTAGAAGTGTGCCCACCCCAGTCGTGACTCCTTTGTGTCTGTCACCTATTTTGCATTTGACTCCTTTACCAAGATGAAATAGATTCACTATTAATGACACATGCCCTAAGATAGTCATTACGTGTGCTCACCCAGCTGCCATTTATCAGTCTGAATAACCTGACATGACATGCTACGGAGATTAAGAATAACATATGCCTTGAATTTAAAACCATCAGATGGAGATCAGTGACCGATAAATTCTTCATTGTTTATATTGAAACACATTTTCTAGCTCCAAGACCAGATCAAATCTGTCCGTGAGGAACTGAAGAAGAAAGATGCTCTAATTCAACACCTTGTAAGCCTAGAGTCAGCACCAAAAATCCCAAGAGCACCAGATTCATATAGGGTAAGCATCCATAGAATGTCCCGTGTGTGTGCTTCTGCAGCATTCTTTGTTTTAAAGATGTTTTACATTGCCATTGGAGAGTAAGCAAGACAGGCAGGGAGAGATACTGCTGCATTACTGTATTACCCATTTACTCATTACATTGCCCTACTTTGGATCTTTTCTCTAGGCCATGCTGGCGTGGTGGGTAATGAACAGGCAGACAGATTGGCTGGATCTGCACCACTGGGTGGTGAATTGATACATGACAAGGCAGATGTGGGCAAGGCCCTTTGGGAACAAGCATCAGAATCAGTAGAGATATAAGATTATTATTGCCTGGAGAGAATGAAGCTTCTATGTAAAGCCAGAGGGTCTGGCAAGCTCACTAAACTCAGAGGAAAGGCAAGACAGACATATAACATGATTGTGACCAGTACCATCAGTATTGGAACTCTGCACTGGCTGCTGAAGATGAGGACAGAGCATGCATGGGAATGGCCCGAGTGCTGTGATGTCAATTCTTAACTCAAACTCATTACATTACCCATTTGAACTGAAATACTACAGACAAATTCTTACAATACCATAGACAAAGAAGAAGAAAAATGCTCACATCCTGCATGATCTAAGCATTGAGTACAATTGGCCCTTAAATAAATAACATCCTCTCCCAAAAGCTGGGGTATTTTGGTCATGTTAAATGTCATTGTCGCTGGAGAGAATGGTGATGGAGGGTACAGTTTCTGGAAAATGAGGCAAAGGCAGACCTCCCGTGGGTTGATACAAAACATTAAAGATGCACTGGCATTGAAAGCACATAGAGAAGGAAATAATAAGCAAATAAAGAACAACCTGACGTGCCAGTCTGTTTTCAACAAAAGAAGACAATAATCGAATCAATCAGAATGCCACCAAAACCGGCACAAGACGATTACCATTTTTTTAGACAGACCAGAGCAAGTTATTATTCTACGCAGAACAGGACACAGTCGACTTCACAGCCACATGTACACAAAATTTAAAGTCAGCAAATCAGCCATGTGCACATGTGGACTAGCACCTGAGACAACAGATCATGTCCTCCAAGACTGTCCCAAATACAACATATCAAAGCAAAAAATTTTGGCCACGGGAAACATCGGTGCAAGTCAAACTTTACGGGTCACTGAGTTAATTACAAAAGACAGTGAAGTTCATACTAGAACAAAAGAAGGTTATCTTCTGAATTACGGTCCCAAATCATCGAGGCCGAAAATATACCCTAACAGAGCCTCAGTCACGTGTCAATTAGGAACTTCTGGTGACTTAATTTGCACACTACCGACGGCTTCCGCCAACGCCGAGAGTGTCCCTCACGCCACTCATGCGGTGTGGATTAGGGCTAAACTAGATGGCTAGCGTGAGCGGCGAAGGGATACCCTCGGCGGTGGCGGTATAGTCCCCAGAAGTTCGCAATTGACACGTGACTAAGGCTCTGTTAGAGTATATTTTCCACCTCGATAATTTGGGACCGTTATTCGGAAGATAGCCCAAAAGAAGAAGAAGACATAGAGCAGGAGAATTGGCTAGAAATAGAGAGACTTTCAGCTGTGCTGTGACAAGAGTGATGTTTTGTAAAGGGCTTGCTGACTGATGATGATAGTGATATCATCCATAGATGATACTACCCCTTCTGTAGCAAGTTTCACTATGTGGATACTAACTGTTCAAGTAGCACACTGGCTGTACACTTGTCATGCAGATACATGTCAGTAAGAGAGTTAAACAACCCACTCAAAATGAGAATCATCACACTTTATATATACTCGGTCCTGCTATAAGGGGCAGAAACTTGGGCGATGAACATCAACTAGAAAATCAAATGGAGTCACTGAAGATGTGGATATACAGAAGAATAGGTCTTATTTCATGGAAGCAAAAACAGTCCGATACAGAGGTTCTGGAAAGGCTACAAATGAAAAGAGAATTACTGACAGAAATAAAAAAGAGACAATTGAAATACTTTGCCCACATTAAAAGAGGTATTACACTTTTAAAACCATACTGGAGGGTAAGGTTGAAGGCAAGATAGCGAGAGGTAGGCAAGGATACAAGTGGGAGGATAATATCAAGAGATTAATGAACATCAGTCTGGGAGAGTGTACAACCAGGACAAGAGACAGAGCGTATTGGAGATCCATTGCAGCCAACCTTAACTGTGGAGATGGCACCTGATTGATTGATGACACACAGAAACTATGATTCCTCTTGTAACTCCAAAATCCAGCCAATTCCAAAACACTTGTACAAAGACATGACATGAGATTATTTGGTGACTGTTGTTCATTGGAAGCATGAATAAATAATGTTAATTATTATTTCTCTAATAAAATAATATTACTGACACTGTATTATCTAACAACACTTTTTATCACTACAGCTGGACAATATATACTTGGGAGAAAGATCAACAGTTGACACAGTTAGGAGTGAGCTGGCAACCTTACAAGTTAGATATGAAAGAGCACAAGCACAGGTTAAATCTACAATTAAGTTGTGATTATTTTAAAGTAGATAACAATCAAAGAGTTATTTTGTTAGATTGCTTTGTTCCAAACATATTGGTGTTACCTTTTCTTAGGAGCAAACAAGGCAGGAGGAGAGGGGTTATGATGCATGGGCTACACATTGTCTCTACAAACTAGTCCAGGCTTTGGGCTGTGGAGAGGAGAGGTTTTAATCCAATGCCTTCCAAAAAGTTCCAACATAATCTTTATCCTGCTCTTTTAAATTTGGCAAAGTAGTAGCTTAAAATAATTAAACAGATAGGTTTTTCAGAATTGTTTAACTGATTTTGTATGTAACATCTGTATTAGATTTGCTAAACCATTTCACTATATTGTTTAATATTAAACTGCAATTTCTCATTCTACGTAAAAAAATATTTTCAGCTTTTATAATTTTTTTATTAAGTATATGTATTAATTTACACACACACACACAATCACACACTTCATCTTTCTCCTCTCTCTCGCTCTCTTTATCTCTCTTGCTCTCTCTCTCTCTCTCTGTCTCAGGTCTGGGTTTTTTTTTCATAATTATTTTGTTTTGTAGTTTTGTGAATGTTTATGTTTACACCATGCAAATGCATATGTTTTATCTTTGTTGCTATCAGCTTATTACTTTTATTTGTTTATGTTTAATATTCTGTTTATAGAAAATTCATTAACATGGTAAACCTATGTTTTGTGGTGTTGTTTTTTTAAGTATATGTTTGCTTCAGTTTTTTTTTTTTAAATTTATTTTGTTTAATGCACTATTTAACTAAAGTTATTTTTTTTTTTTTTATGAATATCAGATCAGGGAGCTTCAAAATGAAATGGAAACAAAAGACATCAAAATTAAAGAGCTCCAACATCTTGTTGACTCCTGTCGAGATTCTGAGAACCGTCTGTCAAATATGGTTTCTGGCTTAAGGGATCAGCTTGCAGAGTTTGAGTCTAAGGCAGGTTCATTTGAAACTGTGGCTTCTAGAGGAGAGTATACAATCTCTACACTGCAAAGGGAAAATAGGGAACTGAACGACAAGATAATAGATCTGGAGCAGAGGCTGAGGTAAAGATCATTTTGCAACTTCAATGTAGATTTATCTATATCTTGTTGTTAACGCAAAAAGCTTTTAAAAGTGATCTTCATTGCTTGTGATCTGCTGCTTTTCTGCCCATGGTATTACATATTACTTGACCCTCCTTCATTTATTTTTCCTACTGTCCTTCTCCAGGTTTCCTTAGGTTGTCAGATCTGTTTTCTCCGTGGTAATTAGATGCAGATTGTCAAGAATTGTTAGGTAGCATATGAGGATAACTTAAATGACAACTAGCAAACATGATGGAAGTAAAGTTAGAGGAAGGTAAAGCAATGAATACCTCAGTTAGTCTGTCAAGGTTTCACCATCACAGCAATTAGGTTTTCCCATACTTGCTCTGTTCCCGTGCCAGTGCGAATCAAATGAAATGTCCCTCACTGTCGCATTTGAAAAACTGTTGAATAAACAACTTGTTCCGGGACAATCCAAAAATATGTGCCTGCAGTAAGTACATATTTCAGTTGCTCAAGGCGGCAAAGCCAACAATCGCCACCAGAAATACACTTTGTTGTTGATGGAAGTAGAATGGCACGATAAGTTGTTTACTGTACACACACATACAACTCTTACATAAGGTATTTCACCAGCTCACATGTAATAAATACCTCACTGACTTGACTACGTGGATAAACAGGCAAAAACACAGAACTGCTGGATATTGTTTTCAGTGCAGAACAGTAACCAACCACATGTAATAACACAAACTGTCATACTGATGATAAAGATGATGATAAAGATGACGATAATGATGATGATGATGATGATGATGACAAAAATATAGAGTATAAGTGAAATGATCTGTTATTCAAATCTGTGTGCTTCTACTACTGAAGTGAAGGTTTCCATCCCAGCTACAGGTGAGTTTGCAGCAGATCACCTTGAATTGGTGTTTACAGTGGTATTGACCATCAGAAAGAAGTGAAGAACTACTGAATGTTAAAGTGCCAAATCAAATCTCAAACAGACCAAAAAGGCTGGGCTTGGTTCTACAACATCCTGAAAAATACATGCAACTAACTATGTTTCCTGGAAGATAATTATTTTTTTAAACTGAACTTGTCAGAAATACACATGTTGTTTTGTACACCTCTGTATGTATGTTCATAAATGTTAAAGGCTTAAAGTCAAAAGGATCGACTTCATTGCACTGGGTATTATCCTGTATAGCACGTCTCTCTCCACAGAATAGCTAGCTGCCTGCCGAGAACGTCGAACAGAGCATGAACTCCATAACTCCGATGATCATCCCCAGGAATATTCGTAAAAATTGCACTCATTAACTGAACGGTGCAGCCATAAAGTGAACCCATGACCGTCAAAGCATGAGGCAAATGGTTTGACCACTTTGCTACGAAGACTGCCTGAATGTCCATAAACAAGTTTTTGTATTCTTTTTAAATGGTTTCTCAGGAAACAGCTGGAAGAACGAGAGCAGTCTGAGTCTAAGTTTATGAGTGAAGGCAGACGCACACATGATCTGTTAGGTCAGATTAGCAGTTTACTATATGCAGATGGACTTTGTGATACTTCACCTGCTTCTGTAGATGTTGTCATCCGAAAGGTATTACCTCTTTCTTGCTTACTTGAGTCTATTGATTCTAACTGTTTACATTAACTCTTTTGGTGGTAGAAGACAGTAAAGATAGTTGTAAATCAAAGGGTGATGAGTTTCTACATAAAGAGTTAATCATATATTTTTAACACTTGCAAGGAGTGATAAACAGAAAATCCAAAATTATTTAGATTAATTGTCTCAGATAAAGACTAGCTGATGCATAATTATAAATAAAGAAGGCATGTGAATTCTTGGTAATGGATAGCAAGCAGTGTTGCTGATCAATTTAAAAAAAAAAAAAGAATACAAAACCTAACTCTTTGAGTCCCAAGGAACGCATCATGCATTCATAGGTTCCTACCTAGAAGCCCAATGAACGAATGATGCGCTGATTTTATTACTTTCTTTACTACCCCCTGGGCCTGTGATGCTAAACCCCCTGTGACTCAAAGAGTTGAATGCGTCTAAAGTCATCATGTGCATCTAATACCCTTGAGTGTGGTGTAATTTAATATTTTCTTTTTCAATACTTACATAGTTCAAATGTATTCTGTATTAATTCCTCTTTAATTTGATTTACTATATGTATCTATACAGCCAATATGTTTTCTTCAGTAAGGTTTTAGCTTTGTCATATTGCAGTTTAAAAAAAAAAAATCAGCTGAAAATTAATTCTGTCTTAACATAGAACAAAAATATTATCCTGAAAGAGTTAACCACATGCTATATAACCAGATAATAAATTGTGCAGAATATTGTTTGTGTTCAGAATAAAGCTGGGATAGTTTTGTTTAAAATTGAATAATACTATAAATATCTTTAAAAAAAATGTATTTTGATTTTCTAAATTTAATATCGTTGTTAATGGTAAACTGAATACCTCATTTAATGGTAATCCTAATGTGTGCAGTTGACTGACCTAGTTCAAGAGAATGCCACACTCAAAGGGAGAATCCTTACACTTAATGAGCATCTGAATGAGACACAGCTAGAGACGAAAGCAAGCAGAGAGACCATAATGAGGCTGGTATCAGAAATGGGAAGAGAACAAAAGGTGGCTACACGCTACACCTCTGACATTGAGAAACTGAGAGCTGTAAGTAGGATTTGAATGTAGATGTTTCATTTCTAGTAGCATTTTGTGTTTGTAGATCAAAGATATTCTGAGAAAGATTCTAAGAATATCTTGGACAAAGAAGAGGAGAAATACTGACATCTTGAAACATATGAACATCAAGGAAGATTGGCTAATAAACAGCATCCTTCTCGGAAGCTGAAATATTGTGGTCATATCAAGTGCCAATACGGATTGGAAAAAATTATAGCAGAAGTCATGGTATCAGGAAGGAGGGGCAGGGGCCGACCGACACGAAGATGGGCACAGGATATAAGTGACTCCTTGAGTATGAAAGTACATGAGGTGGGAGAAGTGGCGAGAGAACGGGTTTCTTTCAGGCAGACCGTGATGAGAGCGACGTTCTGCAAAGGACCTGCTACATGATGATGAGATCAAAGATTGTGATAAACCTGTAGGCATTTGTGGGTTCTCATTTGGGAAGGAGGGCTGGGGGGTCATTGTGGTACAAATTATGTTTTTCTTCTTCTTCACTTCCTCTTTTACCACATTGGGTGTCGATGGAGATATAAGGTTCTGCTTCTTTCTTTTCTGGCCCCCTTGCCCATTGATACTTTGTGTTATTTTAGACTTTCTCTGATGTTATATTTCCATCGTGGTCTTGGTCTTTCTCATGCTGTATGTCCTTTTCTTTTTGTTATGCCTTACATGATATGGCACCACTAGGCATTTTCTCTAAGTGTGCAGACTCGTTGATTTATTGTCTTTGTACATAATTTACAATTGGCTCTAAGCCAACTTGTTCTCTAATGACCTAATTCCTGATTTTATCTCTTCTGGTCACTCTTCAGACATCTCATTTACTTAGTTATTAATTTTCTTTTCTAGTTTGCTATGAGTGACTACATCTGGCATTGGTAGCATAGGGTTAAAATGAATTTGCTTTATACGAAATGTTCCTTTGTGCTGACTGGGATTGTCTTAAGGCTTTGTTTCATCGGTGTGTGTGTGTGTGTGTATGTGAGAGAGAGAGAGAGAGAGAGAGAGAGAGAGAGAGAGAGAGAGAGAGAGAGAGAGAGAGAGAGAGAGAGAGAGAGAGAGAGAGAGAGGGAAAGAAAAAAAGAGAGAGACATACATGTATAATAGTAATTCATGAATGCATTGAAAAATAGAAGCAGTTTCTGTAGCCCTTCAATAACTGTGAGGCACATACACAAGTGTTTGTTACTACTGAGCCTTGGTCTGTTATTTGGAAGATCATTGTTAATATGGATCTAGTCTGTCTGCATTTGATTGTTTTTGCTTCCATGAAGCTTTTTGTTTTTTCCATGAAGTATATCCCACAATGGCCACTATTCGACTTTCTGATCACATGATTATTGTCCAGGTTTGTGTGTCTTATTGTAATGTTGAATTTGCTGAACATAGACAGCTGTAGTTTTTAATGATTGTTTTCTAGACTTTAATATTTTTGTCATGTTGTTTCATGTTGTTAAACATATTAGTGGCCTTCCCTGTTTGTTTGTTTGTTTTTTTGTTTTTTTAATTTTTTTTTCCCCACTTTTTAGTCTTATTATGTATTATGTTTGTAATTTAATATTTATTGAAACTTGTTTGTTAACAAGAAGTTGTAACTTGTCTTGTTTTCCACAGGATAGAGATAATGCAATAGCTGCACGGCGGGATTTGGAACGGGAAGTTGAACTTCTGAAGGAGAGACTTGATGCTAACCAAAGGGCTCTAGAAGCAACAAGAAATGAACTAGAACTCAAGGAAAGCAGGTTCCACTCTCTCGACCGGGACTTCAGGGAAACAGCACACAATGTCAGAACTACTGGGACACAGTTCGACCTTTTCCGTGAGCAGCTTGCAAACCTTCTGAGTTCTGTTAACAATTCTGTTACACCTTCAGAAGAAAGTCTAAAAGAGACGATAAGGCGCCTTGCATCAGATAAGAGAGAAAATGATTTGGTAAGAATGATGGGGTTTAAATGCATTCCATCTTTAACAACACAAAGCAAAACAAATATTGTTTAAAACCCTATTAGATTCTATTCACAGTTAATATACAGGTGTATGTGTATCATTTACATCTTTTTTTGTTTATTGGTACCTATTTTTCATAAAATTATAGTTATCTTTAACAGTTCAAATATATAAATGGTACTTATTTTCTATATTATTTTCTGTGTATTACATATAATTTGTGTATCTTTCACTTAATTCTTTGAGTCCCAGGGGGTTTAGCCTTGGTGGCCCAAGAGGTTGTAATGCAATTTTGAAATTTTACAAGTGTTACAGATTAAAACAGACCATACTAATTTAACTGCCATACAACATAAACATATTATACATCAAAGTGACCAGGGATCATTGAGGAATAATATTAGAATACTGCTACAAAAATAAATTGTGTTAGTAGTTAATTATTAGTAAATAAACATATTGTATGTTTAGAGAAATTAGTAAAAAAAATAATAGTGTTTCCAATAATGTTGAATTAAGAATCAACATCACAGCACTTGGGACACTTCAAAAAAGCGCACGGTCCCCATCTTCAGCAGCAACTGAAGATTTCCAATTCCATTTCAGTTTCCACTTACCACAATGACACTCAAAATGAATCATGAATGAACATGATCCACTTAGTAATGTGTAAATAAAAAGAAAAACATAATCTGTCCATTAGATCTCACTGTAGGGACATTTTTGGAACATCATAACACAGCACCATTTTTAGTAAAGAAAAATTACCTCTGAAAATAGTTAGTATTTTCGCACACACACACAAACAAAATTGATTTAACTCTCAAATTTCCCATAATTGTATAGCCTGTATTCCTAAATAATAAGGGAATCACTCTAGACCTAACTGATACTGAAGAACATTGCCTTTTTCACTAAAATATATTCTTTGTACCAGCTGACTTTGTTATTGTTGTAGGCGTTGCATGAGGTATATATCAGATCTATCCGTCATTAAAGTTTGACTCTTATCAATGACTGAAACAAGTCTGCTTTGCAGTTTTCTATGTCTAGCTTTAGATAAATCTGATCAACATGTGTTTTATTTGAATAAGAGGCTTCTAGTCATAAATCACATTGACATGCAAGAAGAAGTCTGCTCGGAGACCATATTGTTTTTAATACAACACTTAGTAAGTAAAGCTCACAAGCATGCTACATTTTATGCTTTCTAGCACGTTTTTGAATTTACCTAATGGTCAGCAGTGTGACTCCAAACACAAAGAGCAGGAAAACTGTCAGTGTACGCTGTTAAATTGGCTAGTTGTTAATTAAAAACGTGAATGCATCACCCCCAGTTGGCCACCTGGGTTGTAACCGATAAGCACAGGATGCATTCCTTAGGACTCAAAGAGTTTTAAAAAAAAAAAGAAACCACCGTCTTTACTGTCTCTTTTTATTACTTTCAGTGTGTAGGATAAGGAGGGTCGTGAACCTGTGAATTTAAGGTCACATGGGTAGTGTAGCCATCACAGCCTTTGCAGATCAGGATTTTTATTTTGCTCCTAACATACAAATATCTCCATCTCTTATGCAGGACTGAAGCTGGGTCTGCCACATGAGTGGCCAGTGTTTTAGCCATTCAGCCAGCCACTCCTCAACTTTAACTCTTTATGTCCTAAACAATGCACTAAGCATGACTGGGTATTATTCGGATGTACCAATCAACATGTTATTATGTATTCACATCTTATGTTTAGTCAGGGGTTCTAAAGAACTCTGACTACATACCTGTTTCTTGCAAAGGTTGTATATTTGGCTCACCTGGTAGTAACATATCAATGAAGTATTTCCATTTGTATTCCCATTCTCAGCGCCCTCAGACATAAGCTAAGACTTTGTGGGACTAGAAGAGTTAAATGGTACCAATTTCTATAGTTTTTAATGTGTATCATTTACATCACTACTATATAAATAGTATTTGTTTTAAGTTCTCTTTCTCTTCGAATTTTTGCCTGTTTTATTTATAAATGATACACATTTTCTATATTTATTTTTCATTTTATGTCTTTCAATCTATAATATACAAGTATAAATGATACTTGCATTAGTCTTCTTTAGAGTATAATTTTTTAATTTAAAAAAAGTTATACTCTTTCTTTGGGAATCATTTGCATCTCTCTCACACACACATGCACATATGCACACACATTCACACCAAACAGACTCACTCCAACACATAAATACCTCAACACTATTATCGCCCCCCCCTCCCCCCCCACACCCACACACTCACATGCACGTACACATGCAAATATAAACATACATAAACACAGCTATTGAAGTTTCTAATTTTCAATAGTTTTTCTTTGAGAATCATTTACACCCTTCGATATATAAATGGCACTTTCTGTTTTTGACTGACTGACTGACTTTCTACCCCAGCAGGACATCACACAAGCAGTAAACACCCAATCACGCAATGTGCCACCAGGTGGATGAGGATCACCGTGGAGAGGTCCCAGCAACCGCATTCAGCCTTTAGGCCATATTTATGGCCAGGCTATATTGCAGCCCCTGGCAAAAGCCAGAGTAGTGCTTAAAAAAAAAAAAAAAAATTGATCCTAAAAAAAACGGGAAGTGTATTAGGATTTCTTTTTTTTTACCTTTTATTATTATATACTTCTTTTTTTTTTTTTCCTATAGCGCATAGAGGGATATGAAAGTCGCATTAAACAACTGACAGATCAGCTGGACCAAGAGCTTAGTATTCACAGAGATTTGGTCCAGAGAGCCAGGAAATTTGAAGTAGAGGCTCATGATTTGGCAGAGAGGCTAAGGAGTGCAGAGGCTGAACTAGCAACAGGAGATTGTCTTAGAGATGGCTTCAAATTTGACAAAGAAAAAGTAAGCAGTATGAGTTTGACAGGAATTCAAAACTGCAGTTATGTCCCTTTATTTAATTCATTTATTAAACTAATTGTTAAATTTTGGTGGAATGTTGTGCAGTTCTTCAAGTTAAGACAATCCACATTTAATATGAAAGTAATTTACTTGAAAGTAAATATTATGTTGCTACTTTAAATGTTTCTTTTTATTTATATAGAGGAAGCAATCACTGCTATAACTGCTCACATAGTATGTCGAGAAAGGCGGAGACAAGCTGGGTTCAATCCCAGCTGCAGGCAGTTTGGTAGCTGATTGCTCGGTTTTGGTTTTGACAGTGTTATTTAAAGTTGATTATTGAGAAAGCAGCTGCGAACTACCGAACATAAAAATTGACTAGTGAAATCACAAACAGAAAGAAATACTGTGGTTGGTTCTGTATTGTTGGGTAAAGAGCACACAGCTAACTTGTTTTTTTTGGGGGGAAAGTGAGGGGGGGGGGGGTGTAAAGTGTGCTCACAGCCCTTAGGACATACATAAACTGGATCCACAACAAAAAACAAAACAAAACAAAAAATCTCTAGACATCTTAACATACACTTTTTTCTCCGCCAGACTGCATAAGCATGGGGAACTGAGCTCTGTGGGGAGACACCTGCCTGCCTTCTTAAAGGTCTTGGGTTCATCTCTTAACGTTCACCGGCTGTAAACTTCTGCAAAACGTTCTGGGTGTTTGTCTACTTCTGGACTTTAGTCTTGTTCCAGAAGCTGAGTGTTGTGTGCACAACTGATTTACACATCTGGCTTATTTGTATGTAGACTGTTGGTTCTTTGCCTCTCAGTTAGATGTACTCTAACTTCTGACGATGCCCCCAATAAGTTGACTTCTATGATTGGTTGACTTCTTTGATATGCTTCTTGGGGCAATCAGTGGATCTTTCATTGTTGCCCCCACAATGGGACCCCCAGATCCCACACAGGAAGTTCTTTGGTTCAAGTCTACATTGAATTAGTTGAATTAATATTTTTAATGGCTTTGGCTTCCATGTCAGCTGAGTCTGAATTGTGTAGCAGGTTGTATTCTGGGAAGTGAAGGTGGCTCGTGTGATGTGGACCACATCACCCCTAGTGTATTTGTCTACAAAACAGGAGACTAATCTCATATGCCCGATGTGCCATTGCTAGTGTATGTGTCTACAAAACAGGAGACTAATCTCATATGCCCGATGTGCCATTGCTAGTGTATTTGTCTACAAAACAGGAGACTAATCTCATATGCCCGATGTGCCATTGCTAGTGTATTTGTCTACAAAACAGGAGACTAATCTTATATGCCCGATGTGCCATTGCTAGTGTATTTGTCTACAAAACAGGAGACTAATCTCATATGCCCGATGTGCCATTGCTAGTGTATTTGTCTACAAAACAGGAGACTAATCTCATATGCCCGATGTGCCATTGCTAGTGTATGTGTCTACAAAACAGGAGACTAATCTTATATGCCCGATGTGCCATTGCTAGTGTACTTGTCTACAAAACAGGAGACTAATCTTATATGCCCGATGTGCCATTGCTAGTGTATTTGTCTACAAAACAGGAGACTAATCTCATATGCCCGATGTGCCATTGCTAGTGTATGTGTCTACAAAACAGGAGACTAATCTTATATGCCCGATGTGCCATTGCTAGTGTATTTGTCTACAAAACAGGAGACTAATCTCATATGCCCGATGTGCCATTGCTAGTGTACTTGTCTACAAAACAGGAGACTAATCTCATATGCCCTATGTGCCATTGCTAGTGTATGTGTCTACAAAACAGGAGACTAATCTTATATGCCCGATGTGCCATTGCTAGTGTATTTGTCTAAAAAACAGGAGACTAATCTCATATGCCCGATGTGCCATTGCTAGTGTATGTGTCTACAAAACAGGAGACTAATCTTATATGCCCGATGTGCCATTGCTAGTGTACTTGTCTACAAAACAGGAGACTAATCTCATATGCCCGATGTGCCATTGCTAGTGTATGTGTCTACAAAACAGGAGACTAATCTTATATGCCCGATGTGCCATTGCTAGTGTATTTGTCTACAAAACAGGAGACTAATCTTATATGCCCGATGTGCCATTGCTAGTGTACGTGTCTACAAAACAGGAGACTAATCTCGTATATCCGATGTGCCATTGCTAGTGTACTTGTCTACAAAACAGGAGACTAATCTTATATGCCCGATGTGCCATTGCTAGTGTATGTGTCTACAAAACAGGAGACTAATCTTATATGCCCGATGTGCCATTGCTAGTGTATTTGTCTACAAAACAGGAGACTAATCTTATATGCCCGATGTGCCATTGCTAGTGTACGTGTCTACAAAACAGGAGACTAATCTCGTATGTCCGATGTGCCATAGCTAGTGTATTTGTCTACAAAACAGGAGACTAATCTCATATGCCCGATGTGCCATTGCTAGTGTACTTGTCTACAAAACAGGAGACTAATCTCATATGCCCTATGTGCCATTGCTAGTGTACTTGTCTACAAAACAGGAGACTAATCTCATATGCCCGATGTGCCATTGCTAGTGTATTTGTCTACAAAACAGGAGACTAATCTCATATGCCCTATGTGCCATTGCTAGTGTATTTGTCTACAAAACAGGAGACTAATCTCATATGCCCTATGTGCCATTGCTAGTGTATTTGTCTACAAAACAGGAGACTAATCTCATATGCCCTATGTGCCATTGCTAGTGTATTTGTCTACAAAACAGGAGACTAATCTCATATGCCCTATGTGCCATTGCTAGTGTATTTGTCTACAAAACAGGAGACTAATCTCATATGCCCTATGTGCCATTGCTAGTGTATTTGTCTACAAAACAGGAGACTAATCTCGTATGTCCGATATGCCATTGGTATAACAAAAAAACAAAAACAAATAGGCAGGAATTTCCCATGTGTCTGTATGTGACTCAATAAATATTTAAATCCTTACGTGGGTTCCGGGGCCCCATTGTGGGGGAAAACAAGAATAGACCCACTGCCTGCCCAAAAAGATGTAAGAGTCTACTAAGTGATAGCTTCTGTCGGAATACATCTGCCCGAGAGGCAAGGAACCAACAGCCTGCATGCAAATGAGTCAGACCTGTGACACGGATGTACGAGCAATACTTAGGTTCTGGAACAGGACTGGAGTCCAGAAGTAGACAAACAACCAGAACTTTCTGCCCGAGTTTACAGCTTTTGAACGCGAAGAAGACGAAATATTTAAAATATTTCACATACCATTTGACTGATGGAGACATTTTATTTTGTGAACAGTATCTGAGAGGTCTGCAAAAATTGGGAGAAATTATGAAAATGGATCGTATTTCTCTGGATCTTGGTTTGGACCTGACAATGGATGCTTTAATTGCCCGTGCAGAACAGCTGATGAAACTTGAGGCAGATGCACTGGCCAACAAGTCATCACATGTGTACAACCTTCAGCGCAAGGTAAATAAAAATTATTTTTTAAATTATATCTCTCTGTTATGGGATACTATTTTGAAGATTAGACAATAGATTCTTTTTATTAACACAAGTACTGAGGGAGTTTCTTTTTTACATTTGTGAAACTTGATAAAATTATTCATCCACTAATTGCTGTCTGATTTATTCTAAGTTTATAAATAAATAAACTGTCTTGATTTGGCTCTTATTTTGCTACTGTCTACTGTATATAGCGTTGTGGGGAAGGAAAGTGAGGATAATTTTTAGCATAAGGAATTAGGGCACATAGTTATGGAAGTCACCATTAACTATTTAAGTTAGGAAGCCATGTCTCTCAAGTGAGAACCAGCATTCTAACTGTTTGACCGGATGCTTTGTTAATAGAGGAATTACAAACATCTAGCAAGTACTTAACGCCAGAATAAAATTATTTTATTAAAGGCTTTACATATGAAATTGTGCTGACTGACTGACTGACTGACTGACTTTCTACCCCACCAGGACATCACACAAGCGATAAACACCAATGACACAACGTGCCACCATGTGGGTGAGGATCACCATGGAGAGGTCCCAGAAACCGTGTTTAGCCTTTAGGCCATATTTGTGGCCAGGCTATATTGCGGCCCCTGGCAAGAGCCAGAGTAGGGCTTCAAATAACGAAAAATGTCATCCTAAAAAGGACGGGTGTACACTCATTGTGCTGCTTCCACATTTCCAGAATATTGTTTTCATATGTTTCTAAAAGAAACTAACTTAATATTAGAATATTTCACGGCACTGAGCAGTAGTTTGAACACTTCCCCACCCACATAGGACAGCAAGTTACCTCGTAACCAGTAGAATCCCCAGTATAACTGTTTTGAATAGTAGCAACAGAATCGTTAAAACTAATGTCCCAAGTCTCACGATAGATGGTAGAAATGCCAACAGAGAGAGCAAACTGAAGTATCTGGGAATTACATTTGACAGGAGCCTGTCATTTAAGGACCATGTGGAGAGTGTTGTGACGAGATGCCAAAAAGGACTTAGTGCACTTAAGACTATGGCTGCAATTGACATAGAGCAGAGAATGCTTTTCACACTATATCAGCACCTGATCCTGACAGTGGTGGATTATGGCCTGGGTCTGCTTACCGTCTCAAAGAGTCAGATGGACAAACTAGAGCGCATACAGAACGAGGCTATGCGGGTCATTCTGGGTTGCACCAGGAAAACCCCAGTAATGTGTATGTGATACATCCTACGGTTGCATGTAGGCACAAGGTGCTGCAGGCGAAGTCATATCTCAGGGTAGCTGCAGACACAGACCACCCTCTGCATGAAGCTCTTGATGCAGTTAAGGGTCAGTGGCTGATAAGAGGGAGGTCATGGATGGCCCAGGCAGAAGACACAATCAGACAAGTTTACATCCTTGAGAACATTAGGCGAGGAGAGGAGTGGGTCAAATTGCCACCTGAACAGTCAGACTTTTGTAGAGTCATAATCACGATGAGCTGGGAATGCAGAGACTGGCCAGCAGGTGCCACAGAGGTGGAATTCAGCAGTTAATTCAAGATAATGCTCGCTTAGAGGATTTGATCATTTACACAGACGGTTCAGTGTCAAGAGGCAGAAGAAGTGCTTGGGACTTCTTAGCAAAAGTTAATGGTCAGCGTTTGGTGCAGCAAAGCCTAGCATATGATACCACAACATCCAGCTTAAGAATGGAGGTGGAGGCAGTCACTGCAGCTTTGGGCTGGCTAGAGAACACGACACACACACACATCATGATTGTAACTGATTCAGAAAGCATGCTGAGGAAGATCAGAACAGGTATGCCTGGATTTTTTCACTGGGAACGCTGGTGTGTTGGGAAATAAACAGGCTGACAGACTGGCTGGCTCTGCACAACTTGGTGGAATACTGATACATCATAAGGCAGTCGTGGTTAGTGCCTTGTGGGAGAGCGTGTACAGTTCGGAGGAGCAGATGTATCACCACAGTCTGGTGAGATTGATGCATTTGGGGGTGACGAGAGGTTCTGGCAGAAGCTCGAGGCTCAGAGGAAAGGCAAGACGGACGTTTAATCAGAATGCTACTAGCACCATTAGTATCGGAACTCTTTGCTGGCTGCTGAAGATGGGGACGGAGTGCTTATGGGAATGCCCCGAGCGCTGTGATGTCAGTTCTTGAATCAAATCAAATCAAATGGTAGCATTTGTTTTCACACTGAATCAGTCTCTCCTGCTCCAATCAGGCAGGAAAAACTTTAATGAAGTGTTTAAAAAAAAATATTGAGGACATCTGTAATTTTTGCATTTTACCTTTTTATTTGACATGCAGTCTTTTATAATCTGTAATTTTAGATGTTAGGTAACTTGTAAATTACTTTGTTGCTGATTTTGTAGATTTTATAAATAATTCTCTGGGCATTGTAAAATAATTATATTCAGAAATCAGTTCAACATCTTACAGAATCATTTACAGAATCATTTACAGAATCATTTACAGAATCAATCATTTACAGAATCATTTACAGAATCATTTACAGAATCAATTACAGAATCATTTACAGAATCATTTACAGAATCAATTACAGAGTCATTTACAGAATCATTTACAGAATCATTTACAGAATCATTTACAGAATCAATTACAGAATCAATTACAGAATCATTTACAGAATCATTTACAGAATCATTTACAGAATCATTTACAGAATCAATTACAGAATCATTTACAGAATCATTTACAGAATCATTTACAGAATCATTTACAGAATCATTTACAGAATCATGTACAGAATCAATTACAGAATCAATTACAGAATCATTTACATAATTATTTACAGAATCATTTACAGCACTGAGTATCTTTCTTAACCATTTCATTTTGACAACTTTGTTACATCTAACAGTTAAAGGCCTTGAAAGAGCAGCTGGAGAGCAAGGACCTTCACATTGATTTACTTAGAAAGAAACTGACAGATCTAGAGGAAAGGGCCCATGGACGGTTTGACATTGAGAAGCAGCGTGACTCTGAGAGTATGAGGGTACAGAAACTGGAAAAACTGGTGGAGAAGTATAAGCTGCAGCTACAAGACTCAAGGCATGAAATTCAGAACCTCAAAGCACAGTTATTTGGCTCTGGAGAACTCAAGGTAAAATTTCTGTACATGTTTATTTTATCTTCCTGGTGTTCACTGGCTGTAAACTCCGGTAGAAAGTTCTGGTTATTCATCCACTTCTGGATTTTGGTCTTGTTTCGGTACTTGAGTATTGCATGCCCACCCATTTAACAAATCTAACATCCTTGAACACAGACTGTTGATTCCTTATCTCTCAGGTAGGTAGGTGCACTCTGACTGTGAAGGAAACACCCCTAATTTGTCACGTTAGAACATGTTTCTTAGGAGGGCAGGGGTCTGTTCTTGTTTCTCCCTAAACATGAACTTTAGAATTCTTATGTCAAATCAGTACTTTTATATGAGGCAAAAACATGGAGAACAACTAAGGCATCTACTAATAAATTACAGACATTCATTAACTGGTGACTGCGCAGAATAGAATGAATTAAATGGTATGATAGAATAACTAATGTAGAGCTTTAGGAGAGAACTAAGCAAGCCCCTGTGGACCAAGAGGTGAGGAAAAGATGCTAGCGTTGAATAGGACACACATTGAGAAAACCGGAGAACAGCATAATTAGAATGTCTTTGCATTGGAACCCAGAGGGGCATAGGAATGAAGGAAGGCCAAAACACACATGGAGAAGAGAGCTGGAGAATGAAGTTAGAAAGATGGGGAGGACATAGGGAGAGCTCCATGTAATAGCAAAGAATAGAATGACGGCGTGAGTTGGTTGAGAGCCTATGCTCCGTGGAGGGATAGAAAGGCAGAAGAAGAAGAATTGAGGCACCAGAAGCCTCACAGGAAGTTTAATTTTTTTTCACATTTTTATAATTAGGGGAGCTGTGCTTTAGTGTTCAAATCCCCATTGTTGCACAGATTATTAAAGAAGAAAAAAATTACTAACAGATCAGTCCAGTCAGCATTGCGTCTCTTTTTCTTATTATTTTCAGACTGTAAACTTGAACAGAAACTTCTGGTTGTTCACCCGCTTCTGGATTTTGGTCTTGTTCCAGAACTTAAGTTTTGCGTGAAAGTCCATTTTACAAATCTGTCATTTTTGTATACAAACTATTGGTTCCTTGTCTCTGTCTTTGAAGTAAACACCCTTAATTGTTTACTCATTTGACATGCTGTTTTGCTTGTTTGGAAGAGTGTTCTGTTTTCTTTTTTTTTCACTCTTAAAATGTGGCTCTGGAACTCACACAGGGATATAAAAAGAGTAAAGATAAAAAGAATCCATTTCTACATGTTGAAGCATATAGTGCACATGGCACCACCACCATACTCTGTAGACCAGTTTGCACTCCTCATACTGCAGGTTTAACTACTAAATGCATAAAATAAAGACTATACATTCCCTACAGTGTGCTTGTCATATAGGATCACAAACACCTATGCACATTCTGCAAAGCTGCCCGCTCTACCTGCAACTTCAAAAAAACCTGGCCTCAAGACAAGAGTGTGCAGAGGAATCTATGGTGAACCATGAAGGACGTGCAGCTGATATGTGCGTTCATAGAGGCAACCCACCTGGTGGTCTGACCTGCACATATGAAACCGAACCCAAAGAAGAAAGATTTATTCTGCCACACTTCTCAGAGGACCTTCAGATGGATTGATTTTCCTAATAATTTCAAAGCACCTTCATTGATGCAGATCAAAAGCCATTTTAAAACATCTTTCTAATTAAAAATTACATTGTATTTTTTCTTTTTAGAAATATATGTTCAGATATGGAGAATCAACTTTACTGAAACAGTCTTTATGCCATATGTAGCCATAATGGCTACATATGGCATTATAATTAATGAGAAGTGTATTTAATCACATAAAATTGAATCCAGTTAAATTGTTATATCATAAATTACCTTATCTTGTTTAATGTGTTCATAATCCTTTATAAAAACTAGATTAAGTTTTATCTTTTTAAGTAAATTTATTATTAACCCAAAGGGAAAGATGCTTATAAACATTTTATAGATTTTGCACTCATTTTAATACAAAGTAGTTTTGGTATTTTCACCACTTCTTATTAAAAATAAAAATGTTGCAGGTTCGCACACTTGAACAGCGGAAGGATATTGAAGAGTTGGCTCGCCAGATTGAAGAACTAGAAGAAATTCGTAAGCGTCAATCAAGAAAAATTTCACAGCTGAAATCAGAAATTCAAAACAGCGAGTCTACAATACAGGAAAAGAATGTCGCCTCAGAAAATGCTGTGCAGGCTTTGAGTAGTGAGTTGCGTACAACTAAAAATGCTTTGGAGAACCTCAAATACAGAGAGAAGCAGGTATTAATTTTTTTAATTTAATTTAAAAAAACAGTCATTGAAGGTTGCATAGTTATTAATTTCCAATATGTTATCATGTAGCTACAAATGGCTACTTAAATTATGTGTGCTGTTTCTTCTTCTTCTTCTTCTTTTTCTTCTTCTTCTTCTTCTTCTTCTTCTTCTTCTTCTTCTTCTTATTCTTATTCTTCTTCTTCTTCTTCTTCTTCTTCCTCCAAATTCATATCTCACTGCCGATATAAAAGAATTGTTTGTGTGTGGTCTGTGTATGTTTGTGTGTGCACTCATGCATGGGTGGGTGAGTGCATGCATGTGTAAGTAGGTTTATGAGTGTGTGTTTCTATGCACTGCATATACAAATTTTTTACATTGTCTGCTGCAAAAATTGTGCAATGGAGCAACAGGTAAAACTGAGAAATATATTCCTAAGAAATATAATTAAAATGGTTGTTGAACAGGTTTAAGAATGAGTAAACAGAGGTGCAGATTAGATCATTATGGTGTAAGGAGAATGGCGCTGCGAGGAGTTACCAGGGGATGACACGGATATACAATCAGTTACTGGTACCATTGGAATTGGAACTTTTTGCTTGCTGCTGAAGATGGGAACTGAGCACTTATGGGAGTGTCCCACATGCTGTGATGTTGTTTCCTAATTCAACATTCAAAATAATAAGGTTGCAATGTCACAAACTTGAATCAGTATTTTTGTGTGTGCATCATTCACATTGAAGGTAATGTCATGAATTTATACATTGAAGGTAATGTCATGAATTAGTAAATTTAAACTTATGACTTTTGTCTGTCCACAGCTGGTTGACTTCCGCACTGTTGTGGCTCGCATGCTCGGCCTTGACATTAACACCCTTGCAATCCCAGATTATGAAATCATTACTCGTCTGGAGAAACTCATCCAAGCCCATCATGCAACTGCGTACACCAATCTGTCTTTGGGTGAAGCCTTACAAGATGTTGACGATAACCATGCTGTGTCATTTCATCATGGTTTAGAAGCTGCAGACCCGGTCATTCAAAGATCCAGAGAAAGATCTAGGAAAAAGGCTGCACGCCTTCATGCAAGGGCCAGATCTGTTTCTCCAATGAGAAGAGATCCTCGAATATACTGATGAGGTATAACACTTGGGGGAATTTATCACAATTCTTTTTTAAAATGAAAAGAAATAATATTTTCTGTCTTCAGTAATATGCTGTTTTATTACAATTGTTTTTCCGATCTCAATTTTTAAAAACAGCTTTTCTTGTTTATTTTACAACCTAGTCTTTCCCTTTTGTTGCCTCATAACATACAAGTACATGCTGTTGAATTAGTTTAATTTCCTAGAGCTGCAACAGCATCTCTTTGGTTGCCAAAATGTTATAAATAATTTGGTGGGAGTGAATATGGGTGTAGGTTTAACTGATTAGTTTCATTCCCCATTGGTAGCTTGATATGTTCAAGACCTTTAGTGAGCGAGTGAAAAGTGCAGAAGCACAAATAGATTATCACTGTCAGAAGAGATTGGAGCAGTGGGAAGTGATTTGGGTAACACTCAATGCTTCAGAGGAAAGGCGAGAGGGACAGAGAATCAGACTGCTACTAGTACCATTGGAAATGGATCTCTGCACTGGCTACTGAAGATGAGGATAGAGTGTTTATGAAAATGCCCCACATGTTGTGATGCCAGTTCTTAACTAATAACAATTATCCATCTGTGAAACTATCCCCCATTATAGACCACGAGAGAAACCAAATGATAGCTGAGAATGATCAGCTTTGACCAGACTATAATAACAGATAGTCAAAAGGTGTGAAGAACTCTATGTAGAATGCCAAAGAACAATAGTAGATCAATACAGCATAATTGCACATAAGGAGGGATATACTGAATACAGGATCTTAACTCTTACAGGCTGAATAGTTTGATGTGTAGTTAAGATGACCTATTGCCTAATTTTTAAAAAGTTAGTTGTGAATCCTTTACAGGATTTTGTGCCATCAGCCGTAGAATTGGTTGGCTATTTTGTTTTACTAGTGAAGCTTACATTTAGTAGTTTGTCGATGCTTCCTGAATGGTCAACTCTTGATACCTCTATCAAAATTACCGCCAGGTGATCTGCTGCAAAATTGCACACAGCTGGAATTGAACCGGGTACCTTGAAATTCTGCATCTGTGGCTTAGGCATTGTAAATGCGCTTTGTAATGCCGGGTTCAATACCAGCTGCATGCCTTGCACCTTGCATTGGTTTCAACAGTGGTATCGAGAAGCCAACCCTCCAGAAAGCATTGAGAAACTACTGGATGTAAATTTGTCTAGAAAAACCACATTAAAAAAAAGCAGGTGTTGGTTGTGCAACATCCTGTAAAGGATACACAACTAACTTTAACCTTGAAATTATTAAGCGTGTTTACAATGTCTAAGTTAAAGACACAGACATTGCTGTGTAATAACCAGTGGTTATCTCATCATCATCATGTAGCAGGTCCTTTGCAGAACGTCGCTCTCATCACAGTCTGCCTGAAAGAAGCTTGGTCTCTCGCCAGTTCTCCCACCTCATGCACTTTCACACTCAAGGAGTCACTTATATCCTGTGCCCATTTTCGTGTCAGTCGACCCCTGCCCCTCCTTCCTGGTACCATGCCTTCTGGTATAATTTTTTCCAATCCGTCGTGGTGCTTGATATGACCAAAATATTTCAGCTTTCGACAAAGGATGCTGTTTATTAGCCAATCATTCCTTGATGTTCATCTTCTTTGTCCAAGATATTCTGAGAATCTTTCTATAGTATTTCAGCTCAAAAGCCCATATTCTTTTTCTTAAGGACGGAGAGATAGTCCACGACTCACATCCGTATGTAGCCACAGGGAAGATGCGTGCTCTCAAAATTCTAATTTTTATCTCCTTGCTGGTGCTTAACCATAGACTTTTAAGGCTGTTCAAAGTGGTTATCTATTTTATTCTAATACTGGTACATATTATCAAGGGTAGATTTTAACATTATTAAATATACTGATAGTAAAGCTAACAATGGCTCCGTCTCCCTCTTCCACATCCACATCATTTTCTGCTGACTCAGTACTCAAGTACCGTCTTCATAGAGATGGTAGGCAGACAGATTGGCTGGATCTGCACTACTGGGTAGTGAATTGAAACATGACAGGACAGATGTGGTCAAGGCCCTTTGGGAACAAGCAAAGGAATCAATAGAGACAAACAAATTATTGTGACCTGGAGAGAATGAGGCACCTCGATGTAGCCAGAGGGTTTGGCCAGCTCACTACACTCAGAGGAAAGGCAAGATGGACATATAACCAGGCTGTGACCCCGGTACCATCAGTATTGGAACTCTGCACTGGCTGCTGAAGATAAGAACGGAGCACACATGTGAATGTCCCGAGCGCTGTGTCGTCAGTTCTTGACTCAGCTCATCTCTATAGAGACTGTTTTGCAAAGCTCTTCTATTCTGACATCAGCCTTGTGCGCAAGTCCAGTGCAGTAACTACACATCTATGGACAATCATTTCAGAGTATAACCAAATCATGATTCTCCACAGTCACTACGATCTGATTGGAATTAGACCTTTTTGTTAATGTTTGACATATAGAGAGACAAATAATGCATTACAAATTTTTCTAGATGTGTAAGATAATATGTATACTCAGTATTATTGTACGATATAGAGACCTGTACAAAAATCAGGCAACTAGAAAGTCAGATTGAGTTAGCTGAATAGGTTGTATTTCATGAAAACTAACACTATCAAACACAAGGGGATCTGAAGAAATGAAATGAAAAATTATTAGTTGAAATAATATTTAAAAAAAACTTTATATTGACATGGCTGATCTGAAATTAATGTAACAAATGATGTTTGTAGTTTTCTTATGACAATATAAAATAGCAAAAGTCATCATACTTTATATTACATTAATAATATATATGTTAGTATCGACATAACTAATTGTATTTGTAAAATTCTATGATATGATGTGATATACATGTGAATTTAAAAAGAAATGGGAAAAAAAAGCTTATTGGAATATATTGCCTGTATGTGAATTTTTTTTTTGGTTGGTTAAGACTAATTTATGTGGATGCAACTGTATAGAAGAAACAAAGAAGAACACAATGTATAGATTAAAAAGTGTAAAGAAGATGTTCTGAAAGAAATTCACTGTGGCTGAACGATGATTATTTGCATCAGAACCTGAAAGTCTACACTAAGCATGTTGTGACAACGGGAAGACTGGAGTGATTATGGCAATGGAATAAATGGAGGGGAGGAGAGGCAGAGAGAGAGACAGAAAGAACAGGTTGTGGACGGTTTGGCATCATGGCTTGGAAGCGCATCTGACTCAAAAATGAATGTCCATGCCTGGAACAGAAGGTTGTGGATAGGTGTGGTAAACAATACAACACATCACGAGGAGAATGCCGCTGCGAGGAGTTACCAGGGGATCTGTCTGACGCTCAACACTCGGGGCAAGGATGAGACGGATATACAGGGGATCTGGTCAGCGCTCAACACTCAGGGGAAGAATGAGACGTATATACAATCAGACGGTTACTGGCACCATCGAAATTGGAACTCTTTGCTTGCTGCTGAAGATGGGGAATGAGCACATATGGGAGTGTCCTGAGTTCTGTGATGTTAATTCCTAATTCAACATGATCATATAAGAGAATGTGTGTAGAAGAGACTTCTAGCCTATTTATCCAAAATGAAATAAACAAAATCTTATCAATATTTTGGCGACATCCCTTTCTTCATTACCAGCTGTGCCGATTCACACACTCACAAACTTCTTATAGTCTATACATCTGGCGATGATAGTCATATTTATCTACACCCTTCTGTCTTGTATACTTTCAGTCAGTTCTGGCACAGATGATCTTCCAGGGGAGGATTCCAAACTTTCCAGCATTGACTCTTTCTGTTCCCCTTTGCCTCTTTTCCCCTCTAACTTTCCCACTGTCACAATCTACTTCAGTTTTCTGTTTCTAATCACATGACCCCACAAATAATTATTAAAAAAATCATTTCACTTTGCTCGAAACAGAGGTAGCGGCCCCTCTTTTTACAAATTATTCTTTCATAACATTGCAGCTCTGAGGGTGTCTCCATGGTGAAATGGTTTAGCTGTTTGATAAAAGCTTGTAACTTTGGTCCATGTCTGGGCTTAGGTGTGGCAAAAGCAGTTCCGAAATCTTGGGATTCTGGGTTTGATACCAGCTGTCAGCAGTTTATCAGTAGACTGCCTTATGTTGGTTTCAACATTGGTATCGAGAATGGACCATTCAAAAACTCATGGCAAACTACTGAATGGACAATTGACGAGTGAAATCACAAACTGACCAGATAGGTCAGGATTGGTTCTGAAAAGTTTTGTAAACAGACATGTAACTAACTTTTGTAGGTTTACTTTCTGTTTCCTGCAAGCATCACTTTAAAGGTCCTGGTTAGTTAGCATCCTTTGGAAATTTTTTCCAGGTTCTGTCGGTGTGTTGGGAAATGAGCAGGCAGATAGACAGGCCAGTTCTACACCCCTTGGTGGTGAACTGATGTATGACAAGCTGGATGTTGTGAGAGCCCTTTAGGAGCAAGTGAACAATCCAAAGAAACAGAGAGATCATTACCGTCTGAGGAGAATGGCACTTGTGAGGAGTTACAAGGGGATCTGGCTGACACTCGACACTCAGGGGAAAGATGAGACAGATATACAATCATACAGTTACTCGTACTATCAGAATTTTCAACTCTTTGCTTGCTGCTGAAGATGGGGATTGAGTGCTTATGGGAGTGTCCCGAGTGCTGTGATGTGGATTCTTAATTTAACATTCAACATTCTATTGTCTTTAATTTTAAGTAGAGGTATTTTGGAGGTCATTGGGGATCATTATTTGAGCTACAGAATTGTGTATTTTATGTTATATTCTCTGATGGTAACCAGCCACTGTGGAAAGAGTTCTGTCTGCCATATAAATGTTATTGTTATTTTTTTTGGTCTATTGTTTTAATATACAAAACTTGACATGTGTTTCTCATTTTATATATTATTGATTAAAGTTAAATCTTGTTCATTTCACAAAATAAGTATCTGTCATCTTACTTAAATCTTTAAAAAA